CAACACTGAGGGTTGCGATCCGTTGCCGGACACGGAAAAAGACAAAAAAAAAAAAACAGTACTGTCATTTATTTGACCCAGTAATTTTACTTGTAGGAATTTGTCTCCAGGAAATAGTCAGATTTAAGTACAAAGGTCTGTGGTCAGGGGTTCTCTTTATGGCATTACAGTTAATTCTCATTATTTGCAGTAGTTATGTTTTATAAAGTCACCACAAACACTGAATTAGCAAATATCAAACTGTTCCTCCTTGGAGAAATACAGGGTGAAGTTCCTACAAGCCTTTGGACATAACATTTCTGTTGACTCATTAATATATAATCTTGTTTGATGTGTGTTTCTGTTTAAAGACACCTTATTTAATACATATTGATGATTCATTAACATATTGTTGATTCATTCAGCCAACAGCACTATGACTCATACCTGAATGAAGCTTATCTAATATGCATATTTTGTCCCTAAAGCACATAGAGCCTTCTTGTGCTTAGGAACACTAGGTGGCACTACATATGGGGGCCCTTTTAAACAGCAAAATCAACAACAGAATTCACAAACATGCAAAAAATGTGGACTACATAAAGACATTTGTTTATGAGAGCTGAAACAAGAAACCAGAGCATCACCTTGTTCTCCCTCAGCTAGGAATGTGCGGCAGATTTTTCACCACTTTGCACATGTTCACAAATGCCTACAAAGGTGCCGAAAGTATTGATTTGGGGGTTACAAACAAATTATAGCAAATAGGCAAATTCACAAGTACAGAATACGCTAATAATGAGGATTAACTGCATTTGTAATAATAAAATTTTGGAAACCACCTAAGTGCCCTCCACATGGGCATGATGCAGTATCACATGGTTATTAATATCTTGTTTTTGAAGAGTATTGAATGATAATGAAAATATTCATGATGTACTGTTCAGTAAAAACAAGAAGGGTATAAATCAATCAATTGAAGCCTGATTTTGTTTGTGTGTATATGTATGTATATGTGTATTTGTATAGTATTTCACAGATTTTTATTTCTGTATACTTTTCTGTGTTTTAGAAATTTTTGACAATGAATATGTATTAATTTTTATAGTAAATATATGTTAGAAAAGGTATCTTCTACTTTCCAGTCCAACGTGAAATAATGAAGGAAAATGAAGAGGAAAACCTGGGAAATCATGATAGCAATTTAGCACAGCCTAGATCTGACTCCAGTTGCTCTCCAGAATCCCACTGGGAAGAAGGCAAAGAAGTTATCCCAACTTTCTTTAGTACGATGAACACCAGGTATTCTAGACCTTCTAAAATCACTGACAGTTTGATATGAGCTTTCCTTCTGGAAAATCAGTCGTGGTATTCCTTTCAGGTGATGGCGTATTCTAAGAGAATAGAGCATATGGTATACCAAGTTTCTGCTTTACTGTTTACCTTATCTGAACAGTGGATGAGAAGGAATTGGACTGTAAGGTATACTCTGTGAACAAACTTTAGCTTTCTTTGGTGAATTATCTTTGGAAAATTATTTTATCAGACTGTATTATAATAGAAAAACAAAAACTGGGGCATATCTGTGAAATCAGGTCAAATGATTCTTTAGCTTTCTTTGGTGAATTATCTTTGGAAAATTATTTTATTAGACTGTATTATAATAGAAAAACAAAAACTGGGGCATATCTGTGAAATCAGGTCAAATGATTGGCCTTACAGAGGGGCAGCAGTTTCTGTGAACTTCAGAGTGCTGATGTATTTTCAATATTTCCTCCTCCATATCACCAAATTTTTTAGCTTTAGTGACATCGAACTTCTGGAAGACAGTGGCATTCCCACAGAAGCATTCTTGGCATCTTGTTATGCTGTGGTTCCAGTACTAGGTAAGATTGATGCAGTTGACTTGTGTTCATTAGTCTCTAGAATCTGTCTCATGGCAGTTATTTTGCAGGAGAAATATACTGAACTGTGTATACAGTGAGATGACTCTTCTTTTTAGCCACCTCTTCATATCACCAGCCACATACAGCTAAAACTGTATGACTGTAATCATTATTGCATATTCTCATTTTATCTCTAATTATTACATATTGACCTTAGAGTAGTATAATGAGAAAAGGGGATTCTGCTTTCTAGAAACCAAGTATAAATGTGAAAGTGAAGTAGGCCTTCAAGTCTATTGGTACTATGAAAAAAATATTTTATAAGTTAAAACATTTTTTCAAAGATTAAAAAATTATATATATAAATTTATTTAGTTCAAATTTACTTTTACTTAGTATAAAGTCAGTAATACCAGAGATTTCTAATGTGTTGAAATTTTCTGCGTGACCCATTTAACTATGCATCTTTTTTTTAAATTGAGGTATAATTTGCATAGGACTTAAGTTTATGATTCACTGAATTCTAACAAGTGCACCTCCCTATGTAGTCCACATTCCTATCAAAACATAGAATGTTTTCACCACCCCCAGACGTTCCCTGTGCCAACTGGCCCCCAACCCACCACTCAACCTGAGGCAACCATTTTATCAACTTCTGTCACCATAAGTTAGTTTTGCCTATTTTAAAACTTCATATAAATTGAATCATATGATATACTTTTTTGCATCTGACTTTTCTCACTTCGAATGTTTTTAAGGTTCATTTTTGTTGCATGTATCAGTAGTGTATTTCTTTTTTATTGCTGAGTGGTATTCCATTAAATGAATATACCACAATTTGTTTATTCATTTTTCTATTGATGGACATTTGGGTGGTTTCTAGTTTGGAGCCATTATAAGTTGCTGTGAACATTTTTGTGTCTGTGGGCATATGTTTTCATTTCTCTTGAGCAAATACCTAGGACTGGAATTGCTAGTCCATGTTTTAACTTTATAATAAACTGCCAAACTGTTTACAGAGTGCTTGCACACTTGTATACTTCAACAGCAGCATATGAGTATTCTTTTTGCTTCACATCTTCACTAGATTTTGGTGGTGTCAGTATTTTTGATTTTGGCCATTTCTGTGAGTGTTTAATGGCATCTCATTGTGGCTTTAATTTGCATTTCCCTGATGACTAATGACATTGAAGCACTTTTTCATATAATTATTGGCCATTGCTATATCTTCAATTGTGAAGTGTCTGTTCAAATCTTTAACCATTTTTAAAAGTTGGTTATCTTTCTTTTTATTATTGAATTATGCATGTTCTTTATATAATCTGAATGAAATTCCATCGTTAGACATATGCATTGTGAATGTTTTTGCCAGGCTATGGCTTCCCTGTTTCTTAATGATATATTTTTTAAATTTTTTAATTTTTAATTTTTTAATTTTTAATTTTTTATTTATTTTTATTTTTTATTTTTTGTCCTTTTTGAGACCGACCGCACCGCGCTCAGCCAGTGAGCGCTGTGAGCGCACCGGTCATCCCTATATAGGATCCGAACCTGCGGCAGGAGCGCTGCTGCGCTCCCAGCGCCGCACTCTCCCAAGTGTGCCATGGGCTCCACCCTATTTTTTTTTATTTTTTATTTTTTGTCCTTTTTGAGACCGACCGCACCGCGCTCAGCCAGTGAGCGCTGTGAGCGCACCGGTCATCCCTATATAGGATCCGAACCTGCGGCGGGAGGGCTGCTGCGCTCC